AGTGGTTTACAAATTCGCCAGAGCTGACCACCATTATTGACAAGATGAGGACTGGTTCTGAGAGAGATCATGCTGGCCTGTTAGGTATGAAGTGGAACCCTAAGGAAGACACGCTACAGTTTCCACGGAAAGCCATTGTCATTCCTCCTGACGTGAAGTTCACCAAATGACACGTCCTCAGTTCTGCTTCCTCAACATTTGATCCTATTGGCCTCATCTCCCCTGTACTTGTTCCAGCCAAGAAATTCATTTCATCTCTGTGGGATAAGGGATTTGACTGGGACGAAATTCTCCCTGACAAACTCCACCAGCAATACAACCAAATCGCCGAAGAAATAGGAGCAGCTTCAGCATTTGTCACCTCACGTTATTTGGAATTTGACAAAGCTTTACCAGTAGCAATGCATGTATTTTGTGATGCATGCCCCACCACTGCTGCCGGTTGTTGTGTCTTCTTTGCTCAGAATGAGAAGGTCAGATTCATTGGCTCCAAGGTCAAACTTTTGTCATCTAAACATGCACAAACAGTTCCCCAGTGGGAATTAATTGCCATGGTAATAGATGCTCGCCTTGGTGCAGCCATAAGAGAAATTTTCAGCAAGGATTTCCTATCCATCTACATCTCACTCCACCATCTGTCTCCATTAGCTGTTCAGTATCAAAAAACTGTCAGTCTTAATTCGCAATTGGACAACAGAGATCTTGAGGCTTACTGACCTATCAAGCTGGTCCCATGTCAGTTCAGCAAACAATCCTGCAGACATACTCTCCCGCAGATGCAGGGCGGATGAGCTACAATCAGCATTATGGCAAAGAGGTCCTCCATGGTTAACAGACCATATGCTCTGGCCAAGATGGAGTCCTCACAGCTTTGCAGAAGATGATGTTGTCTCAGCCACAGCTATAGACAGTCATGTTCATGGTAAACAGTCTAACACAGACAGTCTCCAAGACTTGATTGACATCTCACGCTTTCAGTCCTTAGAAAGCATGCTTTGCTCAATGTCCTATGTCTTGAGATTCATTTCCAACCTGAAGTATGCCTCTGATAAGTCACGTGGGTCACGCCAGTGCCCGTCAGCTATTGATTTGGTAATTCCAGTTCCCACAGCTGCTGAAATATCCCAAACGGAAGTGGTAATTCTTCGTACTCACCAGCTTCAGCATTTCAAGCTAGAACGGGACTATCTTTGTACAAAGCAGTCACTACTCACCTGTCAGCACTTTAAACCCAAACCTCAGTTGGTTCGTCAACTTAATCTGAAGCTCAACACAAATGGCCTTCTAGTTGCCCCTGCAGACTCGAGCATGCAATGCTCAAACAAGACGCAAGAGAACCAATTCTCATCACTAAAAAGTCTTATTTCACAACTCTGCTTGTTAGTTCAGTTCATGAGAGACAGCTTCACACTGGAGTAAGAGACACTGTTGTAGCACTGCGTAAGAGATTTTGGTTGCCATCAGCACGAAGTGAAATTACAAGGGTGCTCAAGCACTGTGTCAAATGCCAATACCAGATAGGCAGGGTGTACAAGCTACCCCATTCACCTCCCTTGCCTGACTTTCACCCTAACAAGGTGAAACCATTCTCTACAGTGGGAATTGATTTTACCGGTCATCTGATGGTCAAGAATGATAACAAGACGGAGAAATGTTATGTCTGCCTGTTCACCTGTAGCACCACTTGCAATATCAATTTGGAGATTGTTGATGACATGACCACCAATCAGTTCCTTCTTGCATTCAGGCGTCACTGTGCAGTCTATGGAATTCCTTCACTAATCCTGTGTGATAATGCCAAGACAATCCAGAAAGGGGGGTGAAGAAATTCAGAAGCTGTTGCAAGTCATAGAAGATCAGACTGTGCAGCATCACTTTGCCCAGAAGAGAGTTCAGATGAGGCATATTCCTGCCAAGTCACTGCACTGGGGAGGCATGTATGAGCGACTGATTGGAGTAGTTAAGATGTCAATAAAGAAAGTTCTTCATCACGTGCTCATTAGTCTACCCAAATTACAAGCACTCGTCAAAGAGGTTCAAGCAGTCATGAATGATCGCCCAATTACATTCGTCTACCATAATGCGAATGATCCAGAACCTTTCACACTGTCAAAGTTGCTGTATGGTTTCGATGTTACAGCTTTGCCACACCCTGTTACTGATCCTGATGAGTTGGAGGATGAAAACTTCCATGAACATGATCAACTCAAGAAGGCCTTCAGACGACATTCATTGCTGTTCAGCACTTTGTCCAACGGTTCAAGAATGAGTACCTTGCCTTGCTGCGGGAGCATCATGTGTATCAATCTCATGTGTATCAGTCCTCGCAGGAGGAGATCATTAAAGTTGGGATGTTGTACTTATACACACTGAAAATGTTCCTCATAATTCCTAGAAGTTAGCCATTGAAAAGAAAATTCTTCGTGGCAGTGATGGCCTAGTTAGAGCTGTAGAGATCAAAACAAACTCCGGAGTTACCAACTGTTCAATACATCTCTTGTACCGTTGGAAGTCACACTGACGGATCCTAAGGAACACTTTACAGGAACTGAACTGCAGATTCCACAGGTCGAAACACTCAGAAGAAGCAAACAAATTGCTTCACACCCTCACCCCCAGTATGTGGAATCTGGTGACTAGTGATCTAGACCGTAATGTTATTAACCTGCGGTTTGCGTTCGGCACATGCACAGAGACAGTTAAAAAAAAATGTGCTCAAGTGCATGAGAGAACCGCCATGTTGAAACTTGTACTTGCTATGTACTCGTTGTGTTGTTTTACTAAGCGTGGCTGTCCCATTTTATTCTGTCACTGTTAGAAGTTTCTGATTAAGTATTCGTTGATTAAAGTCGATTAATTCAGTCTTGTGGTTTACACAAATTGTTTCTTATTTTCCCAGGTCATTGTCCTATTCTACCCCCAACCCCTCCCCCTAACTCCGCATTTCCATTGCTGATAAGCTTAGCAAGTAATGCAGTTTAGGTCTTTGACCAATGAAAGAAAACAAAAACAGTGCTAGCTACAGTACTTGAGAGTAATCAACAACACATATCACAAAAGAAATAAAACAGGCAGATTAAGATTCCTTAAGAAACTAGATCACTCCGCATTTCCATTGCTGATAAGCTTAGCAAGTAATGCAGTTTAGGTCTTTCACCAATGAAAGAAAACAAAAACAGCGCTAGCTACAGTACTTGAGAGTAATCAACAAAACATATCACAAAAGAAATAAAACAGGCAGATTAAGATTCCTTAAGAAACTAGATCACTCCAAAAGACTAATTGTTCTAAATTCAATGACGATATTATTTTGTCATTAATTCAATGCATGAAATTTATTCCTCATCATGCTGAACCACCGTGCAAATATGTAGCAATGATATGCAGGGCCTCCGTTGCGTGATTAAAACCATCTTCTATGCATTTTACATTAGGTTTAACAAATACCAAAATTTTATCGGTAAATAAACACATCTTCCGTAGTTCCTGAAATTTGCAAATATAAAGACCGTGAGACTCTGCACATCGACTCAGTTTTCATGTTCAAGGTTTTATAACTCACCTATTTGATGCTCTTTTGGTGTCTTTCCAGTAATAGATGATAAAATATTTTGCTGCGCTACAGATTCCTGCTCGTCAAAAGTTTGCTGCCGCGAAAGAGGGAGATTTTCTCGTTCGATTCCTCTAAGTTTGTCGAACACCATTTTGGATTTTATCCTGAGTTGTTCCCAGTCCTTTATGGGCACGAACTTTTTCATCGTATCGAGAGGATACTGGTACCTAACGGCCGAGAAAAAATCAAAGCCTAGGGACCAGTCATAAAGTATTCAACGCTTGTAAAAAAAAAAAATGAAAAAAAGAGAAAAAAGGAGGGTTGGAGGGGGGAGGGGGGGGGACGACTGAGTCTTAGAATGGATGTAGCACTCCGTACCACAAGGTCATCAGGCCCTTCGGGCTGAAGCACCAGAGTCAAATTGATCATTTAGCTTTGGACGAAATTGCAAAAAAAATCAACGAAGTCTTCAATAAAGATATGCTAACATTGAGTCAGATTAACAGCTTAGTTTCCTTAACGAAAAGCATTCAATCTGGATTTACCAAGGAAGGTCATCCTCCCATTCTACCCCCACCTTCTCCCCCTCCCCTCCCTTCGCCTTCCTGCTCTACATATTCCTTTTGCATTAAAAACCATTTAGGGTAGCATGTAATGCAGTTGTGGTTCTTTGACTTGTGGAATGTAGCAAAAACAGCTACTTTTACTGAGGGGTGAGTACTGAACACAACATATTAGTATAGGTAATCACATGATTTCGAGTGCAATTTGGAATAAATAAGCACGAGTAAATTTTTTCAAAGACTAACAAAATTGCATNGTTTGACCTTGACATTGACCTTGACATTGACATTGACCTTGACATTGACATTAACCAATCATTCTGACCAATCAGAATGTCTGGTTTGTTTCTTTCTTTGCACTGAATTAACTCTCTTCTGCACTGAATTAACTGAAAACTGCATTCATCTTAACCAATCAGAACTGAGAAATTTTTTCATGTATATTATTAAACAGGACATAAAACAGGAAAACAATATTTCGTAAGAATCTAGAACATTCCAATTAGACCCTTACTGTTTTTAATTCCGTATCAATCAATTTGTCATTGTTATCCAATGGCATTTATCTTTTATGTTCCACCAAGAACATATGGAGCAATTATGGACGGGATTACGAGATTTTAACTACTTTCTGTTTATTTTAGATTAATCATAACAGTAGCCCCAATTGTATTGCATAATATGAAGGGTATATTTCATATAGCATAAATTTCTACGTTTCTGAAATTCACAAATTTTAAGGTCCGTGACACGATTTCACATCGACTTAGTTTTCACGTTAACAGCCTCTTAACTCGCCTATCTGATACTCTTAGGGTGTTGCCGTGAAAGAGGGAGATTAACTCAGTTTCGATCGGTTCTGTGCCTGTCAATTTTTTTTCACATTAACTCGTCTCCAGTCCTTTATACAAATGCTTCATGGGTATCAAAAGGGTACTGGTGGCCCTTGAAGGAAAAATGAGAATGAAAACTAGCCTAAAAGACAAAAAATCCTGACAGTTTCAACATTTCTACGAAATTGGAATGACTGATAGGCATCTCTTATATACTTCTAAAACTGAAAAAAAAAAAAATTACTGAGAGGTGAGGTTTGTATCTTTTATCAAAATATTGCCGCATCCATTCTTGGGTCAACCAGCTCTGAACTAGCTGTGCACCTGAGAGGATTCGGTCATGTCCTCGAAAAAGAATTAAGAAGCCTTTGACAAAATGTAACTCGAGACAGACTTTGTAAAAACCTGCTGGAGAAGGTAGGCACGCTTACGCGCATGCTCGTGTTCACAGTTTTCTTGGAAAACGCCAGGTCTTGTGATTGGCTAAGAGTCACGGTCGGATGCAACGATCATCGCACTCGGGTATTTTGCCAGCGATATTACTGCATGAAAGCATGGAAGATGCTGCCACGAACGTGAACGCAGTTTCAAATGATACGACACAAGAAGCGGACTCGTTAAAGGCGTATCTGGAGAAGGGAAAGGAATTGGCGAGGAAAAATCCTATACCTGCTGGTAAGTTATTGAAATTGTTAATTATAGGTAACGGGTAAGCAATAAATGTCCATTTCCTGCCACGGTCGGCTAAGTCATGACGACATAGGCGGGGTGAAAATTCATTCAAGGGTTGAGGCAAAGTTTTTGTTTTGAAGGTATGACCGCGATCGTCAGAAAATCAACGTAGACACGTAATGTAATATATAGATCCTTTTAACCAGTTTAGGACTTGTTCGAAAGTTGCCATGTTTCGCTCTGGTTCTTATTCTGCATGGCTGCCAAAAATGTGCTCACAATATATTTTTCTAGTGAGCTTTCATCGCTACATGTGTATCACCTCACTCAAATTCGTATTTTATATCAAAATAATACACACAAAATGTATCTGTATTGCTGTGCTAGCATATATGAATAATGATTAATCAGTTGCTGGGATGGGGAAAAGCTGAGAAATAATGTCAATACGTAAGCCGAGGTTGGGTGTAACACAACATTCACGTTTCACGGAAAGTTTGATCAACTGAAGAGCAGCGATTCTAAAGTAATCGTTGTCAAGAGTTTTGTTCAGCAGCTTCTCGAAGGAAGACACTGCACGATTTAAACTATACTCCTTCATAGGTATTGAACTTATGCCCGAAAATGAAAAACCAATTACCTGAAAACGTGAACAGAACGTGACCGATTAAGTCATGTATTGGATACAACACTGATTGGTTAAGTAGGAGTCATGTGACCAGTCCCTTGGGGAAATACACGGCTTATCGGAAACCCGCCTTGGAATTACTAAATCGTTGCAACTTGCAAAAATGTCGACTTCAGAGTCTATAAATACGGGCAAGGAAAAGCTCGATAATTGGCTTCACGAGAAGAATTTCTTTACCGATGTCTTAGATAAAGTCGAGAAGAAGACTGGAGTGAAAAGGCTCTATTTATTTCTAGGTAATTTGTAAATATTCAAACGCAAATTTGACGAGTCGTCGTCTCTTCGCCTCTTACCATGCTGTTCTTGCACTTGTACAGGTCTTGTTGGGATATTCGCCCTTTATCTTGTGTTCGGCTATGGAGCAGATTTGATTGTGACCTGCTTGGGTTTTGCCTATCCTGCCTATCAATCGTAAGTCTTAAATACCGTATTTCGTTAAAACTACGTATTAGCTGTTTGCCTGTTAAATTGTTTGCTTTAGAGTCGCCATTTGAATGTGGGTTAAACTTGTTTAATACGAGAGAGTAGAACACCTGGTTATATTCCCTCAGCGTTTACCATCTCCGGAGTCCTCGTTGTTGTTCGATAACTGATTTAAAATCAAATCTGTTTTTTCCCGCTGTGTTGTTTTTAGGGTTAAAGCTGTAGAAAGTGCAGACAAAGAGGACGATACACAGTGGCTAATTTATTGGGTGGTGTTCGGAGTTTTCAATATCGTGGAGTTCTTCTCGGACATTTTGCTCTCATGGTTCCCACTCTATTTCCTAGTGAAGGTAATAAAAACTGATAAACTGTTAGGTTTTTAATGTCGTATATTTAATTTAAGATGACAATCAAGTGTATCTTAGAGGTTTTATATTTCTTTATGTGACGTCCATTTATTATTGCCAATTTCTCAACGTGCTTTTACCGATAAAATTAAATTTGTGGACTTCGGACTACGAAGCGCAAAATTTTCTGCAGAAGCCAAAATCAGAAGAAACATTTTATGCAAGCAGATTAAATCTCCAAAGTTGACAGTGGAAAGACATTTTCATTTGCTGTATCTCTTCGTTGATATCACGAACTTTTAATAATTTGTACCCGAAGTATCGTACCTCTGTTCGGCGCGGGTAGTCCAATGAGACGTTTCGATTTTTTTTTTTTTAAGCTGATTTTCCTGTGCTGGTGTATGGCGCCTGTGTCTTGGAATGGATGTAACACTCTTTACCACAAGGTTATCAGGCCCTTCGTGTTGAAGCACCAGAGTCAAATTGATAAAGCTTTGGATAAAGTTGGAGAAAAAGTGGACGAAGTCGCTAAAGAAGGTAAGCTATTGTCAAGCTTGAATAACAGTCAAAAATCCATTTTATTAAACCTTAAAGTCTGCATTTTCAGAGGAAAGCGTCTGATTTTTCATATCAGAGTACTCTTTTCGGTTTGTTTACATCGAATAATCGTATAATGAATTTGAACTTTACATATCCTTATTATGTCGAAGTCTTAATTTAAAACACCATGTCTTTAATAAAAGAATGTTAGGTTTTATGGACAAAATATTGAATTAATTGGCTTCACCTCTCTCAAAGGAAATTCTATGAAATATCGGTTATTTTGTGTACTGTATGGCTTCTTAGACAAGTTTTTTAGCTATCAATATTTAATAAGCATCATTGTAAGCAGATGTTGGTGGACCTATCATATAGCTATGAATTTTTTTGTTTTCCATAACATTAACAGCATCACCAGCAAACTCTCGGGCTTTTGTATTTCCAACTGACTTTTTTTGTGGTTGAGCATTTTCAACTTGTAAGTCAGTCTGTTACCAATTGTGGAATTTTTGTCCGTCAGTTAGAGCTTCTTAGAGACTAAATAAATCCGATCATGCCATAACGTGGCTACACACATTGTGTAAGCCATACATTAAACCATGTTAAAAGTTTTGCTAGAAAAGCATGGAAGTGCTGTCAGACATTTAAACAATTATTTTCATCTTAATGGCTATTGTTGAAAAAACATTTAGCCAGTGTAATCACAATATAATCAAAACTGTTTTAAGTTTTCCAAGTGCCATTTTGTATAAGCAAACTATTAACTTTCTATAATTTGGCCTCAGTACATGCTGAGAGTGAATTTGGAAGCTGGTGTCTTGGAGTACATATATTTTAGCCAGAAGACTTAAAAAATTTAAATTATTACTCTGAGTAGTGCAAGCAGCTTTCGTGTCATGGATTAAGTGTCTTTATTTAGTGTGGATAGTACAAATTTTGAAATTATTGTCTGACAAAATTGATAATGGTGACAGGTGGTAGACAAAATGTCATGTTTTAATGGCATAATCCTGAAGTGATTTATAAACTTGTCACTTAAAAATAATGAAGGCCTTCAGAAGCCTGTGAGTATTTCTGTTTTAATGGTAATGAGCTTATATAGGAGGCATGAAGAGCAGTACTTCAGAAAATCTTTTTTTTTCTTCTTTTTTATATGCCTCTTTGAAATGATCTTATTGTGTTTTTCCTCTCTTTTGCAGCCAAGGATGCAGCCACCGAGGCAGCTATAAGAGCTGCTACTGAAGGCAAGAAAGATTCCTAGATGTTGGGGCTGCAAAGCTAGTAATGAAATCATGCTGAACAAATACAGTGACAAAATACTGCTTTGGATTACTTATTTGGTTCCTTCAATTTACATCAAGAGAATTTCTTTGGCAGTGCTTTACTCCAGTGATACTCTTCACAATATTTAGCTTAGTATCCTACAATCCACTTTCATAGCTTTTCTGGGACTAGATAATTTATTTTGTAGCATTCATTATACTTTAGGATTCTCTGAATCAGAACTCTGGTATCTTTTTTTAATATGTTGTTATGGTAACTTCTATGCATCTCGTACTTAGATTTGAAGTGTAAATTTTGAGGGAATTTTCAGGTGTTAAGCACCACATCTGTGTCACCTGCAGTTGCCTTGCATGTACAAATTTGTCTTCTTGAGCAATGTATTTTTAACATGGAAAATTTCCATTTCTACATAGACTTCCAAATCTCCAGTATTATAGTAAACAGGAAAAACTGTTCAGGCATTTTGTGACAAAGGCACAGTAATCTCTAGCACAGGGGAAAATGTGAATATTGTAAAACTGTAGTAATTAATGTACATCTAATTAAAACACGGTTAAAAAGAATACTCCTTTTTCGAAATAAATACTAAGAGAGGGTCATATTTTAGATTAACATGGGGTGGGAACTTCTTAAATTCAATTCTACTATTAATTTTCTTTTGTCAATTGTTTTCTTGTTTGATAGATGCTCCATCAATTTTTTTTGCCACTATTGCACTGTTATATTCAATCTTGGTATAAGAGATCAGTAGTATACCAATAAATTGACATTTAATCAGTTGTGTGACAAAGTCTTTGCTTGAGAGGATGTACATAGTGAGGATTTAGGTACATGGCAGCATTAGGGTGTGGATCATGATTTTTAAGATGAGTTACGCCTTAGACCCTGAGATTGACCAGCCTCTAGTTTCTCTTCATAGTAACACTGCTGAGTCAATCATTAAGATCGTGAGGATAAAGGATATGATTGCTAACCTAGGAAGCTTTGATTGTTAAATTAATTCTCCTTAGGAAAATCTATGGAAAGTGTCAAGATCTGCTGAGCTGCAACACAATGCATTCCATCGGAATTAATGTCTTGAGTTCCCTGGCTCACTCTAATCCTTGGGTAATTGAAAACAAGAACTAAGTCTGTTTTAAAGAGCCATTGTTGTTTGATAGCTTCTCACTGAGGACAAGCAATTTGGAGGAACCATTAAGTCAAGGAAGAAGGATGCCTAGAGTTGTCAAAATGTACGTGTAAAAGCCTTTGTAAAGGCTTAAGCCAGGAATATTTAACAACTATTCGCCGAAGGCGAGGGGAATATCGTCGAATAATCCCCGAGACGAAGTCGAGGGGATTGTTAGACAATATTCGCCGAGCCCGAGGTGAATAATTGTGTTAAGTATAATTTCAGAGCTGAACAACAGAGGAATTTCTAAAATCATAACATTTTAGTAACATTTATTATTACACGAATCAGGCAGTCGGAGGGCCAATAACTAAAATCAACCAATCAAAATGCTCTATTGTCGGTCAGTATTCTCTCAGTATTGGACCAGGTACTGTCCCGAATGATACCACACTTATGTCCCTTTGAACTTCAGTCGTATAATAAATCTCTTCTTAACCAAGCTTGCTCGGGACCATACCGGAAGAATATCGGCCCTCGGTCTTTTTTGTACGGACCGAGCGCAGCGAGGTCCGTACTGTCAAGACCTCGGGCCGATATTCTCCAAGTACGGCCCTCGCGCTTGGTTAATGAGATATATTTAACATTTTATTTTAACATTTTATATAAACCGCGTGGAGCGGTTTATATAGCGTCATAAAAGGAGCCGCTCGACCAATCAGATTACTGGAAACTCTGCTCAGCTCTGAAATTATACTAAAATGATAAAACCACCGCGCGGTAAAAAAGGCAGTCAAGCCAGGAATATAAAGATGTAACCATCGCGCGGTAAAAAAAAAGCAGTCATATGCTAAGTATGACTCAGTTTTACTGAATTTATTTTTAAAAATTACAAGTGAACCACAAGGAAGATTACATTCCAGTTTTACCACACAAGTATTTCCGTAAGGCGAATGAGGACTGCTTTTCTTGTGTCCGCTCAGCCCACGTTCTGCTCACCAATTAACTTTTCCCGACGCATTTTGTCGTTACAGTTATTTATCTTACATATAATAAATACGATCTAGCAGTCATGCATTAATGTATGTTATGTACCGGCGGTTCAAACCTTCAGATAAAACTTAACATATACACTCTGGTTTTTTTTTTTTTCTCTTTTTTAATAAGAACGTCTTATTTTGGACCTGAGGCTAAGCGTTCTTAGTGATTCGAGGCTGAAAACGTTCTAAAGATGTTCTTAATTTACATGGTATCACCTGATGACTTTGATGGTGTGGAAGTTATTTTAATAATAATAATAATAATAATTTTATTTATATAGCGCTAAAATCCAATAATTGTCCAAAGCGCTACGTGTTTTAATTTTGGAACAGTTAAAAATAAGAACTGTTGATTATGATAAACCGAGATGTGCGTCACCCTTACTAAAGTTATACAAAACATTTGGTGAGTTTACATTTGCTACCTTGATTTTATGCCTGTCATTTAATATAATATATAGATTAGCAAAATAAGAACGTGCTTACTCAGACTGAGGAATGTTCTTAATACGTTCTTAAAATTTTGGTTAATCTCAGCCTCGACGTTCTTATAAAAAGGTTTTTATAAGAAAAAAGAAAAAAAAAAAAAAGAAAAAGGAAAAACAGAGTGTTATCCGCAAAACGGTTTCGTTTTGCCGTGGGATTGTTCAGTTACAGTTCCCACCTAAAAGAGGCCGTAAATGAGTGAGTCAATTACAATGCGTTGCTTTTTAATTTAGCTTATTTTACTAATTGGCAGAATAAAAGGAGCAGACTTACGCTTATTTTTGTGACACACAAACAAAATAAAAATTTTGGCTAATCAGCTTAGCTCGCGTTACTCGTTACACACAATCTAAACATTAGAGAGATTTAGCACCACGTTTGCGTGAAACTTGTACCGCATGAGTGACTACGTGACCTTGTTTTTCCCGCCATTTCTGTGCTTTTCCGTTTCTACGCCGTGAAAGTAACTTATTTTGCACTTCCCGTGTAGGTAAGATTTTCTTCACTTTTTCTCACACAGAGCAGAAGTTAATTGCCAAAAAATAGCATAAAACCATTCCTTATAAGTCATAGAAGGGAAACTTCAAATCCCCCATGAAGCGTGCTCACGCAAAGCTAAAGCAAGTAAGGATGACGCCATTTTACGTGAAACGTGAAAGGGCAAGCTGACGTTTGCCGTTTCACGTAAACGCAGTGCTAAATCTCTCTATTACTTTATTGCTTGGAGAGAACTTCAACTGGTGTCGTTAAAACAAAACCAGTCAAAGTTATCTCGAATATCACGTGGGCCAATCAGAGTAAAGGGATATGTCAAAAGAAGCCAATGAAAGCACAGGGCAAATTATATACATGAAACTTGCGTAAAGCGTGGGGAAAACGCCGCGCGTAACCAAATAGCAAGTGCCTTAAGCTTTGCATCTGACAGGGTAGGTGAGTAAACCCAAGCGAAAGTAATGCAGTCCTACTTTAACGTTCGTCAGTTAATTAAAAATTGTTCTATAGTAACCACTGAGTACAAAACGTTCTATTGTGGTACTGTCATACTGCAAGGGTACGACTAAAGTCCCTGTTTGGGAAGCAGATGGGGGCTAAGAGTGTCCACAGGTACAGAGCAAAGCCAAGCCAACAAGATATAATCTTGCCCCATACTGAAGCAGAGGTCTTCTGAACAATCTCCACATCGCTTTCTTGGGGGCTGTCGGGAGAAATCAATGAGCCAGTAAAATACGCTAAGTAGATTTAGGGTTTGCCTAGAGTTTGAGCTCATTCACAATAATGATTCCACCCACAAAGAAAAAGGCATATCCAAGCACGCGCTGCCTTCGTCCACAACTGATGAATCCAGTGATCTCTTTCTAATCTATAGGACTCTCACTACAAGCGTAATCATGAGATAAAAACTGTTTATCTACAGCCAGTTGCTAAACATTCTCTAAGTAATATTCTCAAGTAAAGAACTAGCATTCTTTGAAGAAGTTCCATATTATAACTCAGTATCTTTATTCAGCTATTCGGGACACTTAATAAGCAGCTTCACGGGATACCAACTTAGTCAGTCCGCCCTATTCATCTGCTAGAGACTTGAAAAACACCTCACCATGTAGAACTCACCTGTACCAATTTGTGAGCATCATCATAATATACAGCGAGGCCAGGAAGTAAATAAAGTGAAAAAAAGAGTAGCTGTAAGCCACTTCTTCTTCTTCGTCGTTTATTATTTCCTGCCCTCTTTTCTCTTCGTCAGCTGTAATGAAGAATTTGTCATAAACAAAACTCCTGAGAACNCAATCATGATAACCCCACCTATGAGAATATGGATTTTCACATAACGACATAAGGTAAACAGTATTTTGAATCCAGTAAGAAATAATGTTCAGTTAAATCCTCGGACGAAGTTGTAGTATTGTTTTAACATTTCGTCTTGTTATAGTCTGCGAATGGTAGGGAGTGCTGATAAACTGGGACCATCAGGAGGAGCTAGTTCCAACAAAGGTATGATAAAGCCCCATTTTACTTGCAGTAGGTTTAATGGTGCATGAGATATCTGAAAGCTTGTTCGCTAACTCAAGCGAATTATTGGAAGAAACTACTTTTTTTTTTCGCTCTCTTTCCTGGACAGCCTGATGTTTGAAAAATAATTTGGATATATCAACAAAGTTGAAATGGTAAATTGGCCACCGTAATGATTACAAAAGCTGACGTTCAGTCGAGCGTTTCGAAGGGCTAACGCTCGAAACGTCAGCTTTTGTAATCATTACGGTGGCCAATTTACCATTTCAACTTTGTTGATATATCCAAATTATTTTTCAAACATCAGGCTGTCCAGGAAAGAGAGCGAAAAAAAAAAGTAGTTTCTTCCAATAATTCGCTTGAGTTAGCGAACAAGTTTTCAGATGTCTCGTGCACCATTAAACCTACTGCAAGTAAAATGGGGCTTTATCATACCTTTGTTGGAACTAGCTCCTCCTGATGGTCCCAGTTTATCAGCACTCCCTACCATTCGCAGACTATAACAAGACGAAATGTTAAAACAATACTACAACTTCGTCCGAGGATTTAACTGAACATTATTTCTTACTGGATTCAAAATACTGTTTACCTTATGTCGTTATGTGAAAATCCATCTTCTCATAGGTGGGGTTATCATGATTGTATAACTTGGCAACTTACACTCAATAAGGGGCCGACCATTTAACTTTTGAGGGGGAGGGGTGTGGGTGATTTGAAAAAAAAATTTCTGCAAGCGCTTGTTGGAAGAAAAAAATTGCATGCAGCCCAAATGTAACAGAAAAAAGAGCAGTTACAACGGAAAAAAATATCCTGCCCAGCAAATAGCTAGAAAAAAAATTTCTTGATGACCAGAAACCACCCATCCCCCCCTCAAAAGTTAAATGGTCGGCCCCTAATTTCTTACCACTAGTGTTACAGGAAATGGACACTTCAGATACTCACCTTGAGTAAATGACAAGCACAAACATGATAGCAAGCCCAACAACTAAAGCCAGTGTCTCTGAGTTTTCAATTGTCCCAATTGAGCTCCCACAAATTTCTTGACTGGTGCTGTTTCCTCCCTGAGATTGAACTAGTAGGGGAAAAGAAACACCACATTCTCTTAAAATGTAGCCTACGGGCTGCCCCTACAAGATCCCAGAAAACCTCTGCGCGACCCGTCAAAAATCTTCACGGGGGCGGTTCAACGCGCGTCTTGCGGCACTCATGATGAGGGCCTGGTCTTGGGCTAGCTTAACTATCGCATCCTATATGGGTTAGCGTAAAAAAAGGAAAAAAGCTAAGCAAAATACTAGTTTCCTAAATTTTAGATTTCAGGTTTTAAGTCATTCTCAAAATAATTGGCTAGGCTCCTAATCAACGTTTGGCAACTCTCAAAATTATCGCGATACTGCAATTCATTTATTGGAATACTGACTGTGAAAACAAGCTCAATTGATCGTAATCAACTGCCCCCAAAGTAATCAACTTGTCACAAATAATGAAAATCTTTATTAACATAAGGGAAAATTTGATGTTTCACACCATACAGTCATGTTTTGTGAAAGAACTGGGATATGTCAACAAAGTTGAAATGGTAAATTGGCCACCGTAACACGAAGTTTCGATTGAATACATGTACCGCCAGTTTCAAAGAAAACCTCATAAAAAACTCAAACCAAAGTAAAATGGACCTTGCAGATTAGTCCTGTACATTTACCTTTATCTGTTGGTCCATTGGCAAGAGCTGACAAGGTGAGATAGCTGGCATACAAAGAAATGACGGAGGCTTGAAGGAGACCAGACTTGGGTTGCACTGAGTGTGAAAAAAGTAGAGTGTCAAATAAAGCTGTCTGACTGGCATAAAATTGTTCAAAACGACCACTTAGTTACTCGTTAACTCGTCAATGATTAATAAATTTCTTTGAATTTGGGCACCTGTACTGTAATGATCACATGACCTGAAAGAAATATTGAAGTTGTATTTCACTGAAAAGAGCTGAATATGCTTCCTTATCACTTGAATAAAAAAAAAAAATACTATTTATCACATCTGTCTAAAGGATCAAACTTCTCCCACCATTTGCCTCCAATGAGGAGCTTACAGGAGTTTTAAGCTGTTCTGTCTATAGTCAGGTAATAAAAGTGAAGTTACGTATATGTGCACAATCCTTCGCAGTAAAGCACTATTTAAGCAATAGTGAAAATCAGACCTGAAAAAAATTCAGGCCTGTATGGGATTCGAACCACTGACCTCTGTGATACTAGTGCAGCACTCTACCAATTGAGCTAACAAGCCAACTGGGAGCAGGCCATCAAATTAATTCGAAAAGTGAAGTTAGTTAAAGGTAAAAGTTTGGAATTTTCACAATTTACTTGGGCACTTATAAGGAGTGGTCAGGTACCTTAAAATGAACAATCTGTAATCTGTATAGCAATCAATCTGGATGAAAATTGCCATGATACTGATGAATCAAGTTACTAAAATTTATTTCAAATTATTCTATAGCCAGTTTGCAGGCAGTACTTAATAATGTATTTTCAAGCCCAAGACTGCACAGCATATTTCTGGTTGGCATATTGGATGGGTGGAAGACTTGGGATGAGTGACAAGGCAAGGGGAAGGACTTGGGATGAGTGACAAAGCAAGGGGAAGGGAGAGGCTGGTTTTTCTCCCCTCCTCTCACTTTGTTATTTGTCCCAGATCTTCCACACGTCCAATATAATTACTCAATATTTCCTGCACTGAATCTTGCACTTGAAAACACAAACTACTGCCTGCAAGCAAGCTGGTAATGTTACCACAGAGTATGTACCTTCTTGGATCTTGGGTAGAATAGATATCACTGAGATGATAAAACACATGATGAAGTTAAAGCTGATAAGGAACTTGTTTAGATGGCAACCACTTGACTGGAAATAAGATTTAAATAGAAGAAAAAACATTGTTAACAGATTTAGTTGCATGACCACAATAAGACTGTATCACTATTCAAATAATTTAATTGCTTTATAATGTAATATAACTTTTACCCACTCAGACAAATTATTTAACATTTGACTGACCTGCGTGAAAAAGACATACGAGAGCATAAACCCAGTCAGTGCAAAAGCATAAAACAGGAACATGACGAAAAACAGCCCTAAAAATAAACAATCAATTGTTGTCATAGAATTAATAGATTTATATTCATTTTATTGGCCTTATTAGCTCACTAACAAGCTATTTGTGGCTCAGATAAGGGTACCAAGCCTACTAAGTAAAAATGTGATCACCTGGGTTCATTTCTTTGTGGGGAACCAAGTTTTTCTTGGTCTGATTGTGACAAAAATGTTAGACACCTTCCTTTCCTAAAATTCACCATTCTTCTAATAACTTGCAATCCTCGAATGCATACTAATTTAATGACTAATTTGTTACCATCCCTGATCAATAATGGATCCTTACTTTGATGTTTTTAAGTTAAACACACAAGGCTCTAAGATTGTTTGAAGATTATACATGTGGCAGACTCAAGATACAAAAGATCAAATTGCAGATTGAAACCCAACCAGTGCTTAATTCAGACAAAGTACTGTGACAGCAAAACCAAGTCTTCATCCAGCCTGAGAGAGTTTATTGAGAAAAAACTGTACACCAAGTCAAGAATCTATTAGAACACTTACCACCAAACCAGCACTTATTATCACTCTCCTCAGCATTTGATGTCCTATCAAAAACAAAAGACGGCGTTACCTTATAACTTTTTACAAGAAAGTGCAACCATGTATGTAAAAGTATAATAAAAGTCACTTTCTGTATCTGTGATTTTACTGTACCAAATCTCATTCCATGTGTGTGCAAAGTCAATCATCAGAATCAGTTGAATAAGGATAAATAGAAAGGCACCAATGAACCCAATATACATCCATGCTGAAATTAAACAAACACAAATAGTGTTATATGGATAACATTTGATAGGGACAAGTAAGGTTTGATAGCGACAAGGTTTAAAAATTCACAATATCAAGCAAATATCAAATTTGATAATTTTTTTATTATCCACTTTTAAAAAATCTGCAAAAGTAGACAACTCTCCAAGTCTGCAAAAGTTTGAGAACACTACACAAACATTAGGGACTTGGAAAGTTACTTGGCAGACTTTGAATTCGACATGATAACCAAATATCTGCACACATTATAATGGGTTATCATGATGTCAACTTCAAAGGCTATTGACTGTATATTCATTTGACTGTATGCTCACAACCAAACAGATACAAGTATTTCATACAAGCAAGTCATATTTATTATTAATGATAAACTTGCTAATTAGTTATATTTGTTTGTGACTGGTACCCACTCCCCTACTTTTGCTGAGTCAATTCTCCCCTCTAGAAAATAAATTCTTTTTTTCTACGAATCTCCCAAGAAATAGAGAGAATTATCAACTTTAATAATAATATTTAATAATAATATTTATTGATTTGTATTGCGCAAATATCAATCCAGAGAAAAAAATTTCATCTGCGCATAACTTTGGATAAAAATGTCTTCAATTATTAATAAAAGTAACTCATAAAGGTACTGCATAATTCAAGGAATTCAAAGTGACTGGTCTTGCTCACCAACTCCAAAGCTTCCTCGGGGAATGAAAAAAGCAGCCACCCACAAAGCTACCAGAAGAAGAAACTTGAGGCACCAGAACCTAATATTAGTGTGGAAAACAAATTAAGTGTTTCAAAGTGAATTACAGATCTTTCATTCAATTCCCCTCGCTGGGCTCACTAATACTCATTCAAATGCCATCAAACATGATAGGCAGGTTTAAACATGATTTAAACATGATTGACAGATAGAGCCCTGGACTGATGTGCGGGAGGTCGAGGGTTCGAGCCCCGGCCGGACCAACACTCAAGGTCTTAAAATAATTAAGAAGAATATGCTACCTTTCTATAACATCAAGAAATGGTTAGATATTCT